AAAAAAAGATGGGCTAGATTCAAGGAGGGGGGATGATTGGGGGACCCACCCCTAGGTCCCCTCAGGCAGACGTCCTCAGTCCCTGACCTTCATTCCTGGTCTCAGGCCCTTTGGAGAATCGGAGCAAAGATCTATGTGATCTAGAGCCGGACTTCTCCAATTCTGCTGTGCCCATGAAGTACCTGGGGAAACTGGTCAAATTCATGTTTTGAATCCGTACGTCTAGGCCAAGGCCTGAGGTCCTGCATGTCTCACGATGCTGATTGCTGCCGCTGGTCCACAGGTGTTAGAGCAGAGCCCACCCCCAGGCCATCCATGATCGCTGGTGTGGGGGTCTGTGGGCAGCACAATGAGGTTGGTAGAATGTGGGCGCAGGACCAAACCTACGTGGGTTTGAAGCCCGGCTCTGCCACTCACCGATGAGTTACTAATCCTCTTGAGCCTTTGTGCCCTCATCTGAAAAAATGGTCGTAACTCCATCAGCCTATCAGGGCTGTTGGAGGAGGAAATGAGGTGATTGGGGTGTAAAAATCTGGGACGGGGCTTGACCTCTGGAAAATGATCATTAAGGCAGTATTGTCAGTGCTAGGTACTGACCACTAATTTAGGATGAGGTTCAGCCTATCTAGACGGTGGCCCGGTTCTCAAAGAGCCAGGATCGCCTCCCTTCCAGCCTGGGGCTGTCCCGACGGGGCGGGCCCAGCGGTGGTTGTGAGGGATGACTGCAGAAGCAAATATACCTCCACTGGATGGACTTGGGCAAGTCGCTTACCCGTTTGGAGTCTTTATTTTATATATATAATATATTTGTTATCTTTTTAAATTCCAATGCAAGTTGTTTACACTTCACTTATTTTTTTTTAATTTACTTTTTTTTTTTAAGGTTTTTTATTCCTTTATTTGACAGAGAGAGAGATAGTACAAGCAGGGGGAGGAGCAGAGAGAGAGGGAGAAGCAGGCTCTCCACTGAACAGGGACCCCAAAGTGGGGCTCCATCCCAGGACCCTGAGATCATGACCTGAGCCCAAGGCAGATGCTTAACCAACTGAACCACCCAGGCAGTCCAAGTTTACTTAATTTTTAGTAACCTCTGTACCCAACGTGGGGCTCAAACTCATGACCCCAAGATCCAGAGTTGCATGCTCTACCAACTGAGCCAGCCAGGTGCCCCTTAACCTCTCAGAGTCTTCAAAATGGGGGAAATAGTACTTACCAACAAAGAACGTTGTAAGGATTACCTGTGATGGTCTGGGTAAAGAACTTAGCACAGTGCAGGGCCTGTAGAAAGTGTTCCTTAAATATTAACATTATTATTCTGAGAAATGCAGAGTTCTAAGCTCCTCTTGTAGTGATTCCAGGAAGGCCCCTGGTGAGTCCAGACTCCTAGAAAGAGGCTGTGGGGTGTGGCAAGAGGGGGTCTCCTGCTGCCTCCACTTACTTCTCCGGCCCTCAGGTACCCACTTCTAAAATCCGATTCCCGTCTGAGCGAAAGCGGTTTAACCAGCTACTCAGGAACCCAGCAGCAAGATCCATAGTTGTGTGGATCTGGGATCAGGGTCTGGACACAGATCTGTGGAACCAGGTCAGAGGGGGTGACGAGTGAACCATGGGCTGGAGCTAATGGGGAGAACAGTTTGTGGAGGGGGGAGGCTCAGGGTGTTGAGGGGACCCTAGAGTGTTTTGGGGTAGGGCAGGGGGCTGTGGAGGGAAGTGGTTCCTGGCACAGGGGCTGGGAACCCCAGAGGCCTATGGCACCCGGGGGTTGGACACTCAGGCCTGGTGTATGGAGCCCAAGCTTTTCTCTCCTCCTTGAAGGGCAGCGCAGCTGAGGTAGGCCTGAGGAAGCCTCCCACTGCCTCTCAGACACACACATCTGCCTACCGGGTAGAGCAGGAAGCAGGTGTTGCAGCGGAAATGTCACTGGCCGTGCGGAGGCCAGCTCTCCTCGCTGGCAGCCCACCTGGACGTACGTATGTCAGAGTCAGGTGCAAATGGGGGAGGGTCAGGCCCTTTTTACGTGAGGGTCGATACCCCTCCCTGACGCTCCTCTGACATTCCTGAGCAGCTGTGAGGTGTGATGGGAGGGCCCTTGCCCAGACACCAGGGGGCCTGTGTGGCTCTGGGCAAGTCACTCACCCTCCCTAGGGTCTGCTTTCCTCATTGTAAAACTGGGTGCTTGGGCTCAGGGTCTTCTCTGCTCTGAGGTGTGAAGGCTTGCTCGCCAGCCAGCCGGTCCTTGGGACATGCTTGCCTTTGCTGGGCCTTTTCCCAGTCTCTTCTTGCCCCTGTTTATCCCTTAGCCGATCCCTCCCCGAAGACCACTCAGCTTACAGTAATTTCTTCTCCCCCTCCTACGGCGGGGAGTGTTCGCGGTCTGTGGCATTCAGGCTCAGCCTTCCTCTCAGTGATGGCTGCTTACATTGTTAAGTAACTGTTTTGTGGCTGGATATTCCATCTGTCTCCTCAACTAGATTTTAAGCTCCTAAAGGGCTTCTCTTTTGTATTTCCCACGTCCCCTGCCTGTGGAGCTTGGTAAAAACTAAATGAACATGTGGCCCTCCGGGTGCAAAGCGCTGTCTCTCTTGTTGCTCTTGCTGCTTCGCTTTTGCTTTCTCTCTCTCTCTCTGTGTCTCTCCTGGCTTTGTAATTGATAGCATAGCTCCAAGGAACAGAAGCTTGTGAGCAGGGCAGATCGGCAGGGGAATATAGCACGCTCAGGGCACGATCGTGGGGTGGCTGCCGCTGCGTGTTGATCTCCAGAGGAACTGAGACTCTTCCTCGCCAGATGGGGCGTGAAGCGGAGACCGAAGTGCTTGGTACCCTCCAGGCCTGGGTCTCGGGGTCTCCTGCCTTGGACTTTATTCCCTGGCTGGATGAGGCCCCTGTCCCTAGCCACATTGGCCCCAGCTGAGGGGGGGAGGGCCCCACTCGCCCCCACCCGCAGGACTTGAATGTGGAAGTCGAATGCTTCTGGTTTCCCACACCTT